AAAACATTCTTGTCTTTCCATATATTGATGACTGGCGCCAAGGTACTTATACGGGTGGGGAGGGGCATATTCTAATATGTTCATTGCTACTGCAGAAGCTCTAGAATCTTCGGATGGGGCTCCACGCAAGTGCGAATCACCCAGGGTGTGAATCACAGAGACCTATTCGAAGAACTACAATTACAGGTGGGTAACCTGTTGTTACTATCATCTTTGTTGTGCACATGGAGCTGTGCATAGGATTTCAGTCACTAAATCTTTTACGTTAGGTTTTGTTTGAAAAGAATTGCAGAAGTGTTTCCTTTTTCTGTTTCTTCCAAAGTTTTTATTTTGCTGACAGCAGTAGCAAGGGATGAATGATTGTGGTGCAGAAGTTTTACATGCTGGAAAACTTTCCAGTTTCTTTGCTTCACATTCACTAGTTGAGTATGGCCACTTCTTCCTTCCTGTAATTTTGCTTGTATCTATTGTAATTGATTTTATTATTATGTATAACTCCATCACTGAATAATCCAGACATCTAGCTGAGGTGTGTGTTCTCTTAACATTCTGTCTCAGAGAGTATGAAATGTCAAAATCTTTGACGTAGCAAGCCTCTCAATATCGCAATGTCTTCTGTGTATTAACACCTTGTATTTTTCTGTGCTTGGCAGTGTTTGCTTTTCCATTTGGCTAATGGAGATTGTTGTCATGGCTAAAGCCTCTGCAAACAGACACTTAACGAGAAAATTGGCATAAAAATTGGAGTAAATAGGGGTGAGGACTGGTGAAAGGCAAATATAAATATCATTTATGCAAAGGAACACGGCATTCAAACAGCACAGAAACAAATCTATTAGTGTGAAAAGTTATATGTTTGGGTCCTACACAGAATGCAATATTTGTACAAAATAGTAAATTATAACATCATGTATGCACAAAGTAGTAAGTAGTATATAGAATGAGATTCTCTTGTCAGAATAATCTATTTTAGATAGTATAAAATACTAATCTTATTGTTTGAGAGAGAGGCTGTGCTGAGAATAAATTAATTACTTTAATAGAGTGAACATTGCCAGTGAATTAAGAGGCACCATCTTGCATTCACCATTGCTAGTTGTCAGTTTATAGAGGAGATGTTTGCTGTTTATTATGTGCTGTACAATATCTTTACATTGATTTAGTTGTCGTGAAAAAAATACATACAAAAAATAATAATCTTTAAAATAAGGTACCTTCAATTACATGCAATAAGTCCTACCTGCACTGCAAAAAAACAATGTTCCGGTCTGTACCAGCTGGGCTAAAATAAATGAATGCATGCATCTGGAAGACAGGTCAGACTCATGAACTGTGTGATAGTTTTCCAACACCTGTGTATACAGTGGTGCCCTGCATGCCGACGATAATTCGTTCCCCTGAAATCACTCTACAGCGAAATCGTCGTCATGCGAAAACAGTTTCCCCATTGGAATGCATTGAAAACCAGTCAATGTGTTCCAATTGGGAAAATACTTCATTGTCCAGCGAAGATCCTCCATAGGGCAGCCATTTTGCGAGCGCCGATCAGCTGTTTTTAATCTCTGTCTTCCAAAGCATGGGTCCGGAAAACAGCAAGAAGCCATTTTGCGAAGCTGACGATCAGCTGTAAAGATCGTCGTCTTGCGAATAAACGGTCCGCGAAGCGTGGACCAAATCGTTGTGAAGCGGAATTCCCCCATTGAAATGCCTCTTTTGAGAATTGCTATAGCGATCACAAAAAGTCATCATCCTGCGGTTTTGCCATTTAGCGGGGTCGTCTTCATGCGGGGCACCACTGTATAGCAGCATTGCAGAAATCCAGTATGAGGGTTTGGGAGAGTCCACAGTCCTACAATGATAACTTCAGTAAGATTTTTTTCATTATAATGATTCTATTTTGTAGAAATCCTTAATTTAGTTTTTTTAAAAACTCTCATGGTGAATAGAAGACCATGTGGGCATTAGCTGGACAAAAGATCTACTGTTATTTGCCATAATTGGAATGCATGTTCCTAAATGACCATGTGGGCATTAGCTGGACAAAAGATCGACTGTTATTTGCCATAATTGGAATGCACGTTCCTAAATGTTCTGTATAGTGTGTGTGTGTGTGTGTGTGTGTGTATTCATTCACTCACTCACTCACTCACTCACTCACTCACTCACTCACTCACTCACTCATTCATTCGATTTCTATATCACCCCTCTAGCCAAAGGCCACTCTGATTGGTTTACAACATAAAAACAAAAATAATAATAAAAAAACAAAGGCCACTCTGATTGGTTTACAACATAAAATTTTTTTAAAAAAATCATAAATCATAAAACAACACATCTACAACTTATACAATAGAAAGGATAAACCATTAAAATGCATACAACAACACAGTAAATAACAGCTAAACATTTAAATTGGTGGTGATTTTATAGTATTTTGGCTGTAGCAGCAGTTTATGTAAGCTCACTTGATGGGATATTTTGAAATGCCTGCTGAAGTAACTGAATCTTGAGCTGTTTCTTGAAGATACCCAGTGAAGGGACCAGGCGAATAGTGGGTCGTGGCTGGTTCTACAGCTGAGGAGTGACCACCGAGAAGGCCTGGTTCCTTGTTTTTTTCTTTGTGGGCCACTTTCAAGATCAGTGTCCTCAATCCTCCTGCCTGGGTTCAGCTTCAATCCACACTAGCACAGCAGCCGGACAGCATCCATTGCAGAAGGATGGAAGGAGAGTTAGAGTTGAGTGTCATCTGCATATTAATGACATGAAACTCCAAATCCCCTGATGACCTCTCCCAAAAGCCTCATGTAGCTATTAAATAACATTGGAGACATTATCCCTGAGTGACTCTGCAATTCAGTGTCCAAGGAGTGGAGACCATCTCTCAAACTTGGACTCTCTGGGAATGGTCCTCAAGGAAGGACCAGAGCCAGGCCACAGCCAGGCCACCAGTACGTAACCCCGAGAACCTCCCCAGCAGTATACCATGGTTGATGGTATCAAAGGCCACTGACAAATCAAGGACACCTTGCCCCTGTTGCCCTTCCTCAAGCGGTCATCTTGCAGGGTGACCAGTACTGTCTCTGTGCCATGACGTGGCCTAAACGCAGGCTGGGATGGATCGAGGGTATTGGTTTCCTCCAGGAGTGCCCACAGCTGATCTGTCGCCACCTTCTCCCTCAGTCTTAAACTACTGAACACAGAAAGAAGACAATTTATCCATTGCATGAATAATCTGTGTGAGGCACTATTCCAAACAATGCATTTCTGCTTATCTAGTAAAATCAGCCAACCTGAAAAATAACCAGAGTGTTCTTGGTCAATGCCATATATCAGCTGAAGCCAAGTCTCTGATATTTCTGATATATGGAACCTCTAGCTGGAGAGCGTAAGCAGGAAATATGAATCTTGTATTGCATTTCTGCTACCGAATGATTTCATATTATTATCAACTGGATTGTGATGTGATGCTAGAGTTTCCACAGATAAACAATAAAGATGGATGTTATTCACATTGGTTTCTGTAAGAAACCAATAGTTGTCCTTTGGCTGGGATCAAAACCTCACACAGGGGTTGCAGAAAGAGGAGCTCTCTGAGTATAAGGACTGGAAACTAGATTTGAATGTTTTCCCAAAACATGCTTAAGGGCAGAGTTTAGAGTTAAGTATAGGTAGTCTGGATACTCAGTGTGGTGTAGTGCAGTGGTTCTTAACCTTTGTTACTCAGATGCTTTTGAACTGCAACTCCCAGAAACCCCAGTCAGCACAGCTGGTGGTGAAGGCTTCTGGGAGTTGCAGTCCAAAACTCCTGAGTAACCCAAGGTTAAGAACCAGTGGTGTAGTGGATAGCTTGATGGACTAGGACTCAGGAGGCCTGGATTTGAATCCTCACGCAGCCATGGAAGTTCACAGATGGGGTGTTTAGAATGGGTAAAACTACTCCTTTAATATCTCACTTACCTTGAAAACCCTATTAGGGTTGCTATATGTTGGTTCTGATGTGACGGCACGTAACAAAAAATAGGTAGCTATAGAAAAAGAAATAGTAAACAGAAGAGTAAGGTAAAGGATGGTGGAGAAAGGGCAGATGGATGACACTTATGCCAGAGGAAAAGCTAGATTAATATCATGGAACTAAATAGATTTCAAGGAAAAATGAGAGCAATCCAAATTCTACCTGGAAGGGTAGCACAAAGCATTGAGGTCTACATTTTAAGATGCATGTTAGCATTTCCTGGAAGATAGCTTTCTGTCAGGAAGCCATTTAAAAACTTTTTTCTTTTGCCAGTTTTGCTGATTTTTGATAATGTCTGGTTATGTATTGTTTTAATGGGATGCTTTAACTTATTTTTGCTAATTTGTAGCCATGCTGGGAGTCTTGATAGAACTGAAGGGCAGGATATACATAAATGCTTACATAAATAAATTTAATTACACATGTCAAAACAATGTTTTTGTCAAAAACCTAAGTTCCTTGTGGATTTGAACAAAAGTTCAGTCCCTCTTATAGTGTGAGCTTGCAATTTGCTTTGAAACCATATTAGAAACCAATGTGTGCATCACACTCTCAGTTCGTTATCAGTGGTTAGAATATTATCAGCAGGTTGTTTGATTACCATTTCTCCAAGGCATGAATTTCTACCCACTCTTCCTACAGGGGTCTTAATCACAGTTACCTTACCATATTTGGCATGGACCTTAATTCTAACCACTTTAATTGTTACTCAGAGTCTTAAAATTAACTTAAAATCTTTGATTCCAGTGTCTGATTTGACTGCCCACACTATGATGGGGTATAAGTGTGAACAAAAATTCTTGCTAGCCTTAACTATGGTTAAAGAAAAGCGGATTTTTCAGGAGTGAAGGAATATTATAACCACATGGTTAAACAATATTACATGTACAGTATTACATATCAACCAACCTTCAGTTATTTCCCTAAAATGTTTGCATCTTAGCTGTGAGTATAAATGTTGTTGTTTTCCTCAATGCCTCCCTCTTAGGAACCATATTACGTTCGCTGCATTAAACCCAATGACAAGAAGTTACCACATCTGTTCGATGAGGAGCGTTGCAGGCATCAGGTGGAATACCTTGGACTTCTGGAAAATGTCAGGGTCCGACGAGCAGGATTTGCTTATCGCCAGACATACGAAAAGTTCCTTCACAGGTAACAAAAAAACTCCTAACCCACCCCACATCTCCCCTTTGAGCACTTCCAGGTTTTAGGATCTCAGGGGAGAGGTATTTCAGTCACACTGCCCTCATAGGCCTCTTTGCTGTGGATGTAAGAGGCAGCCTTTTCTTGACTGATCCTAGGTTGTGGACTCCCTTTTGCAAGCGGTTAGGTTGACCCTCTTTCTCACTGTCATTTTGCTGTGAGACAAGACCTTTCTCTTTAGGAAAACATTTGGCAGCTGCATCTGTCAGGACAGGGAGTCTGACACCTGAACATCTCCCTAAGAACCTTACAGAACTTGGTAGACCTTTAGGGTTAAAAATCAGAAGTCCGTGTTCATCCTTGCTAGCATTTATCACAAACAAACAGAATTAATTCCAGAATGAAATCAGACAATCATTTCCAATTATAACAAAATTCATCTGGGTATCAAGATATAAGTCTTTTGATTGCTGCAGTAATTCCAGGCAAAATTAGCTTATTGAATTCTACAAGCTTTAATCTTACATTGCTTCTGTGTTCTACAAGCACAAAATTACTGAAAAGGTGGTAAGTCAAAATGTATTGAAACATTCTTACAGGTATGAAAAAAAACTGTAATCACAAATGCTCAAAAATATAGCCTTGCAACTAGTGGAAAGCTGGAGATATGATTGCCATCCAAAATTCTTACATCTGTGAGAAGTTACAAGCAAACGTTCATTCAAAAATGAAATTTAAGTTGTAGGCAAAAGTTAAATCATGTTATAATCCATGTTTCCAAATTGCTGTAGCTTACAGTTCTAAAAATGCAAAAGCTTATAGCTTTTATAAGGTACATTGAAAAAAAGGCAGAGAATATATCTTTAGAACACATTATTTAAAAGTAAAAAAGCATTATAATTTTAAGTAGTCTTTGGTGTTTAAGCATATTACTGGACACACATGAAAAATTGTTAAATAATGTTCTCACCCAGCCATGTTAGCCTTGTGCCTGCTTGCATCTATGGAGATATATCCATGATGATTATATTGCCAGTTTCTGGAAATGAAGCATGCTGCTACATGCCTGCTGCTCTTTGATGTCTGGTGCCCAGTGTCAGTTTTGTTGGTATCCGATGTATATGGTGCAGCATAGAGCATGGCCTTGTAGTGCTCTTTTTTTTTTTAACTATCTTTCCCAGCCATTACTTATATCCTTATCTCTCCTTCATCAGCTATCAACAATACTTTTTGTAGGGCCTGGAAGTACAAGGGCCTGGTGCATCTTAGGAATTTCTATTGTTTCTACACCTCCTGTAACTCCAAGGGCTTGTAATTCAGAATCTGGCAAACTGCCATTATGACAACAAACAACCTTATTATGACTAAAATTTTGCAAAACCTGGAGGACTGAAGACTTTAACATAAGAGAACTGGTACACCAAAGTACTGTAAAACCAGAGCAACAAGGGATGTGGATTATAGGACCTGCAAACACCACCTCTGATCAAATTGATACACTGCAATATAAATACGTTCCTATGTATTTATTTATTTATTTGATTTATATATCTCCTATCTCACCAAAGGTCATTCTGGACTGTATACAGCATAAAAGAACAAAGGAAAATCAAAATAAAATTATAAACATAAGTCATAAAAACAGCACACATTCTACTTATTTCAATATGCTTTCAGGTCTCTCTTCTGTTTACACTTTGTTATTTCAGTATTTATAAAACACATTCAACTATCAATGTTATGGTAAAGTGACCTTGTTTGGCTGGAGAGCTGGCTGATGGTTTTTCAATGACTTTTAGTCAACTTCTGTTTCAGCCTTATTTTTAGAAGAACTTCCATTTTCAGAGCTACTTTTTCTATACTCCCCTTAATTGTTTTAGCACCCTATCTTCACAAAATGTCAAATCTTGACAGATCTGTCTTCCACAACCTCACCACCATATTAAATCCCTGAATTAAACAAAAATACAATATAGATGTGAAATGAATAAATCAGTCAGCAAAAATGTTTGAAACTTGAGGTTTTAAGATAATGTTATGATATAAAACTCAAACCTCTCCTTAAAGTTGGGGTGGTTGTAGGCATTGTTCACAAGAGGACAGCTGCATCAAGCCAGCTTTGTGACTCTCTACTTCTCTTCATTTTGTAGCCATAGTTTTGTTTATTCACTCAAACTTTCCCCTCATCTCCTTAGAACAGATTCAAAATCAACATTTAAAAGTAGGGCCTTCCCCTCAAAAAATTGGCACTTGTAATCCTTTTGCTGCTGTGGTTCATAGCTGGCCTGCCAGTATCAATTACAGAGATTTGGCTATCTGAAAACATAAAATATATATGTGTTCTCTATGGTGGAGCAGAACTTCTCAACACATCTGTACAAAATTGGATGCAGAAATCTTCCCTTGCAAGATTATACACCATTCTGGCTAAAGCAGAACATTCCCTATAGATATAAGTAATTTCTCCATGTTCCAAGTCCAGCCCTCTGTCACCTGTTGCTCCTATTTCTCTAGTGATTGCAGAACAGGAACATGCTTAGAACTAATAGTTGGATAGTTCTTAGAAATAATAATTTGCATCATAACATCATAATAACCTACAAGTGCAAATATACAAATCTCAGTTAATTGTAGTTTAATGTAGCCCACTAATCCAATTGATTTCATTAGTAGTCCTTTTCATATGAACGAGTGGTGGTGGAGAGAGTAGAATCTCACCACACTCCTTAGAAGTTAATATACTGCTTTTAAAAGATGTTTCAAGGCTTCCCTAATTCTGTATTAAGTCACTGCAGTCTCCCCTTCCCATGAGAGGTATAAGGAAATGACCTACAATAATCTTTTACCATGATGCTTGTGAACCTAGGCATGGGGAAATATGAAAGAATTGCTCATCAGTGCTTTAAAAATTATGGTATCAAAATAGGTACAAGATAATCCCAGAATTTACTTGGCCAAACCACAAGCTCCCATCAGACAAAGAGGCTGTAAAGAAGCTGATTGAACACTGTGGATTCCAAGACGATGTGGCCTATGGGAAGACCAAGATTTTCATTCGCACACCACGGACGCTCTTCACATTGGAGGAACTGCATGCTAAAATGCTTGTATGGGTGGTTCTGTTTTTACAGAAGGTAAGAGGCTATAGCAAAAGCTACAGTGAAAGAGTTCATTTCTGATTACATCAGACTTTACAGATGGGATGGTGTTATCCTATGGAAGATTCCCAGTATTCGTTTAAGTTAAAGGTTAACCTCTTTGTTATATATGTCTGTGTTATATATGAGGAACAGATTTTGCTCACAATTTTAATTCAGCTATGCATGTTTTCTGCAATATAAATTAGACAGTAATTTAAAGAGTAACTTTATTAATTGAACAGCCCATGACTGGTGAATCTTTACTTATTACAATTTTTTAAAACTTAACTTTCTCAAAACCCAAAGTCAGCACATGAAAGCACTGCTGAAAATGAACAAGGTAAACTGAAATCAGTTATGCAAAGCTGCTCAGCAGGAATAAGTAGAAATAATGCATTGTTTGGTAATTGAAGCTTTCCCTAACTATATTCTTTTCTTGATCTAAGCAGTAACTGGTGGTGGTATGATAGAAAAGAATAAGATTGAAGATACATTTTGGATGAGAATGGGATGTATAGTCATAGAAGACTAGAAGCTGCAAGGTCACAACTGTGATCTTTTCTTGCTTTGCATGTTTTTTATTAAAGGACACTAAAGCGGTCCTCTTGAAAACATAAAAAGCATTCCTTGTCAACCCAGTCAAACTCTTCTGTACATATAACATCTAAGATGCTGGTAGTAAAAATTACAGCTGGTGGTGGTTAACCTTTTTAGACTGTAATTATAACAAATAGAACATACTCAGTTTGTTAAGATGGGGGATGAAATTACCAATGTTTCTTGCAATTGTAAACATTAATCTATCATGTTATATGCATATTTATTTATTACATTCTTATACTGTTCAATAGTGAACATGCACTCCTTGGAAGGCGCAGAGAAAACCAGGATATCTAATTACAGACAACATAAGAAAATCAACCATTAAACATAATATGAACAATAGACAAACATAGTAATACAAACACAAAAGACATAATATCCTCAGTTGAATGAAAATAGTAGATTAAAATTAAAATCCCGGTCTAATATTCCAGCTACGTACCCAGAATAACATGGTGAATGATATGACAAGTGCTCATGTGTTTTCAAATGTAAGACCTTTAAGAGTTGGCCTAAATGTTCAGTTTTTAATGTCTTTCTGAAGGCCAGGAGGAATGGTGCTTGGTGAACCATCAACAGTAACTTTTTTCATGGTAAGGGGATCTGGGCTGAAAGTGCCCAGTTTCTAGTTATGGGTATTTTTTTTTGGCCTCCTTTAGTGTTGACAGTTTCAATGACAAATACTGTGAGGTGTGAAGGGGAAGGGTAGATTGTTTCAAGGAGAGATGTATTAATGCTAAGAAAATATGGACAATTGTGATTCCACTTAATTAGCTTATATGTCCATGTGCTCTGCACAATGGACAGGAATAATTCCTGACAAATGTTTTCTTTATTATATGAGGTCTCAAATTTTGAGCAGTACCTAGTATGGAAAGTGAGGGGCTTGTAGCCACTTTGCTGTTTTCCTAATGCTGTCAGCAGGAAGTAGAAAATTAATTTTTCATGAAACACTGGCCTATTGATTTTTTACAGTGAGCATTAAGTGAGCATAAAAGGGAGTCTATGGAAGTATATTGGATTTTCAAGTGTCACAATTTTCTTTAAAATATATTGATAATATTAATTTAAAAAAGGTAAATAAGAGAGGAATGTACCTTGATGTTATTGGAAGTCTTATAATACATTGATTTTCAAGAAGAATATAATTTAGCTTAGGTTTTGCTCAGTCATTTCATATTTAGCATTGCTGCTTGTTTTCCAGCAGATGGTGCTCTCACAGGTTGTCATTAAAGAAGAGCTTGATATAAAAACTAGGCAAAAAGTCTTAGAAAAGAAATCAAGGCAGTTTTGGTGTCATACAGTTGAGTGCTTCTTGGTTAATTATTTTCAGCTGAGCACGCCTCCCCCAAATTAAGGTGCTGCCTTTTTATTTGCTGGTGAATAGTCTTTTATTGCTCCCTGAATCTCCAGCCTGTCTCTTTATGTCTCACATCATGTGAAGATAAAGGAGGATGTTGACAGTAATGCTGAAGGATTTGGTTGCAGTCCTGGGCTGCAGAAATAATGGAGAATATGGAAACTGAGATAGAGCTACAACATTTTGTTCTGGGGATGAAGTGCAGTTCTTGGCTCATTTGATGGTGGAAAACTGTCACATTCTTTTATCGTTGCTATGGTGGTGATTATATTACTCAAAAGAGATCTTTAACCTTGTCACTTTTTTTTAATTCTCTGCATTTCATTTTTTGAATGGTACACTGCAAAAGGCTGGATTCATGATTGGATTAAACACATGATGGTGCTAGACTCAGCCTAACTGAGCCTCAGTATTTATTATTTGTACATTATTTTATTTGTGTATCCTGCCTTTCAGTACTGGTTTCCTCAAACTTGTGATAACAGTATATTAATACAATATTACAACAAATATCTGTAAACAGCATGACAATAAGAGCAACAAGAACAAATTAAAAACAGCAGTTGTGAGAAACCAGCAGCAAAAAAAGAAGCAAATTACTTTAGGAAACCTGAATATCTATGTGAACAAGACCATTTTCATCTATGGAAAAACCAATAGAGGGCACCAGACTAGCCTCCATGGCCAGTGGCTTCCAAGGCCTCAAAGAAGTCTCTCTCTTGTGTCCCTGTCAAAATTTGCATCACAAGTTGGGGATGGAATGAAAATAAGGCAGGAAACATATTGGTGGGACACATTTATTCTGACCTTCTTGCAGCCTGGGAGATCTCATGTATGAAGAGGCAGATAATCTGATCCTAAGCCATTAAGTTATAACCATCACGTTCAGTTGTGCTTCTGCAAGCAGTGGATTCACATACCTCTGGTAGCTATCCCTGGTTGTTGCACTTTAACCCTGAAGATGTTTCTAAACAAAGTTTGTTTTGGATTAGAACATGTTACAGGAATCTAAAAGAGCCATGCTGTAGGCAAATTTGATAGTCGCTGACCGTGACACTTCAAGGTATAGCCTTCAAGGGACAATTTGTTCACCAGATGAATAAAAGTATGCTTTCTGTGCCATCTCAGTGCCATTTATATTATTTAATTACATGTATTTATATCATGCCTTTACTTGAGATCAAGGCAGCATGTACAACTTTATCCTCTCAGCAGTCCTGAGAGGTAGATGTCACATGTTTGTGATGTGCTGTCAAGTCTCTTCTTATTTATAGCAATCCTAATAGTGTTTTCAAGGTAAGTGGGATATTTAAGGTGCGATTTTACCAGTGCCATCCCCCACACAGAGAGCTTCTATGACTGACTAGGGATTTGAACCCAGGTATCTTGAGTGCTACTCCCTCTGTCTTGCTGCTGCACCCCATTAGTAAGCTTGAGAGGAAAATTAGCTGAGAAAAACATGACTGGTCTGCAGTCCCTCAGTGAGTTGGATGGCTTAGTGGGGACTTGGACTTGAATCTCTCAAGGCCCGTTGGAACACTGTTGACAATTATGGGGGGATAAGATGAGAACCTTTTGTTGCTTTTATCCAGCTGTTTTACTGTCTGTCATTTATATATTTAATGTTACCTGCATCAAACAGTTGTGTGAGACACCAATAAAAATCAGTACACCTACATATTGGAAATACAGTGAGACCCTCATATCCATGGGGGAGTGGTTCCAACCCCCCCCCGCAAAACCTGAAAGCTGCAGATAATAAGGAACACCCACACCATCGTTACCACCCTCACGAGAGGTGGCGCAAGCCAACCCCACACTCATCCACCTTCTTCCCGCAGTGGCAGCAGGTGAAGAGGCTGAGCCATCAGGGGCAAGAGCTGCCCTTTCTGGCTCTTCTTTCTCATGAGGTGATGCGGCCTGGAAATAGCCTTGATGTAGCAGTGAAGGAGGAGGGATCCCTCAAGCCTGTGACTGAAGGCCTCAGTGAGTGGACTGGAAGTGCAACCTTGGGAGTAGGGTGAGCCGCATGTGAAGGGAAAGGAGCCGCATGCCCAGGATCAGGGAGGAAAGGGCAGTGCCGGAGGCTGCAGCCCTCATGAGGAGTGGTTTGGGCCAGCCCCACACCCCTCCACCACCACCTGCAGTGGGCAAAGGGGCTGAATCACCAGGATTAGAGGGGAGGGAGGAGGAAAGGAGAACCACTTTAGTAGTTTCTTTAAAAAAATCCAGAAGAGAACAAGAATTCATAGTAGGTTCTCTGTTAGGGACCCCATCTAGTGGCCCATCTGATAAAACATGCATTTTTTAAAAAGGATTTCTTTTAATATTTCTAAGCCAGTACAGTATTTTCAGATTGTGGATAAGTGAATCAAAAGATACTGATCCAGTGGGTACAGGGGTCCTACTGTACATTATTTTGTTGCAAATGTTCATGCAGTGCTGTTGCCAGAAGTGGGATGTAGGGCTTAATTTTTAATACAGTGGTGCCTTGCTTAGCGATCGCTCTGTTGAGCGACAAAATCACTTAGCGACGGAGTTTAAGCGATTGCAAAAGTGATCGCTTAGCGATGGTCCCTATGGGGAAAATTCGCTTTGCGATGATCGCGGGGAAGCGATGATCGCAAAGCCCCCATTTTCGGCCAGCTGATCGGTGGTTTTAAAATGGCCGCCGGGTAAACAAAATGGCTGCCTGCTGTGTGTCCTCGCTTTAGAAGCACTGAAAATGGCTGCCCCTATGGAGGATTTTCGCTTAAGGTTAATTTTGAAGCCCATAGGTACGCATTAATGGCGTTTTAATGCGTTTCTATGGGCTTTTTAATTCCGTTTAGCGATGAAATCGCTTAGCAACGTTTTTTCCTGCACGGATTAACATCGCTAAGCGAGGCACCACTGTATAATGGTGGTTTTATATCACATTTCTGTATTTTCTCCCTCCAGTCATCCTTGGAACGGCTATTTTTGTAGTACAAATCATTTAGGATGTTAGTGGCTTTGAGTGTCAGAAACGGTTTCCCCAACCAGTTCTTCC